ATATTGGGTTGGCAACTAAGTAATTACCGATTTGTTCAATTAAATAAAAAATGTTTTTTTTACTTGGAACGAAGTTTAATCTGTAATGTATTTTCCATTTTGTTCGATGACCTTTTGCCATCTCTCCGACAACTTGAAAATTCCACGCTCGTAGAAAGTCTGATCCTTTTCGGCCAAAAACTGAGTTAAGTGAGATTTCACAGCGTCATCGTCATTAAAAGTTTTACCACGAAGGGAGTTGTCCAGGGATCGAAATAAGTGGTAATCCGATGGCGCGAGATCAGGGCTATATGGTGGGTGTAACATCAATTCCCAACCAATGTCCATCAATTTTTGCCGAGTGGACAAAAACGTGTGCGGCCTAGCATTGTCCTGCTGGAAAATGACACCTTTACGATCGACCAATTCTGGTCGCTTTTCCTTGACCGCTGCATTCAATTTGTCCAGTTGCTAACGTTCACGGATAATAAAAAATAACATAATAATAATAATAATAATAATTTTATAATATAACATTTACGGACATCATAAAAATGGGAGTGAGAGACATCTATAACTGAAATCGGCAATTACTTAGTTGCCAACCCAATATTATCGCTCAAAATTCTCATCGCCCATGGTTCGCATTAGTAGCGTTTTAACGTTTTAAATTGCATCATTTTTTGCAGTCTATATAAATTTGTTTTCGCGATGCTTTTTATCATAAATGCGTAAATCTTATATGCTACAGCTCAATTAATGCATTAATTGAAAGCTTTTTAATTAATTAATGTATTTATTTATTTATTTATTTATATATACGAGTATAGACCCATTTTTTATAATACAGAACACAAAGCTAATACTAATACAGAATCGGCGAATCAGCGGTTTACGTGAACGGATATGTCTATTTTGCCGCTGTTGTCATTAATAATTTGAGGTGTCCTGTAAAAAAGGTCAATCGCACTAAATCTCGATGAGTAGAATGAGGTTGTAAAGGGCAGTGCTAATCGAGCGAATCGAGAAGGTCAGAGTTAGACATGCAGCGTTTTTTCTTAACACGTTCCGTGCCACGTGTACCACCGATGGTACACGCAGACATATTTATTTAATGCGCCGAAAACATATATTTTATGACAAAATTTAATTCTGTAAAATATATTTCCACCAAAATAATGACGCATTATAAAAAATGCAGTATAAAACAAAGCACATAAATTTGTTTAATTGTTACATATACAATAATTAATAATTACATGCAATGGTTGACTTTGTTAAGACAAGACTTAAAAATGACTTTCTCGGGCAATTGCTGCAAAACGTCGTCACTCTTATAGTTTGTATGTCTTGCTACTTCAGTCCCTCGTTTTTTACTTAACCAATTCGAATACAGCAGGTTCTTTTTCCGAGGAGAGTTTCTGACTTTTACAATCGAACTGATCGCAGCGCCAAGTAACTACTTATGCTATCGCAGCTAACTACTTACGAATTGATGATGTTATGAAATATTGTGCCATAATATGTCAATCTTTAGTCAAAACGTCAAATGGCCTGGACGACAAGTCCAGCAAAAACGGCTTGACACGGAACGTGTTAAAGTCACAGAATTAATCGGTTATCGATCCGATCGACAGCGCGGACGATTACTTTTCAGAGAAGTCCGCGAAAGAAGAGCGCAAGAAGGAGCAGCAATCCGCGGAATGGGCGGAGAACAGCGACGCTTTCGAGAAGGAATCCGAAGAGCCTCCAGCCTTGAGCGATAACTATGTCAACGACGGCGAGTACATTAGGTTGCCAGGGGATCCTTACCCTTACAGCAAGCAGTACTTCGAGACGTGGAGAAAGGCCACACACGAGATCGACATTGGCCCGATCGTTGAACAGAAGAAGCCGGAGATCGAGGCAGAAACTCCGATCGGTGACGCGAGGACCAGAAAGCTTGACATTCTGCCACCTGCCAGGAGCGTGTCCCAAGACGCCGTGCAAAACCGTGACCCGTCTCGAGGCAAAGGTGTGCCTGACTAGAGCGATAGGTGTCAGCCTGCGAAGCCTTAAAGAATATTTTCGAACGATCATCTATTTTTGACGATGAATTTATGGAGCCGAAAATTCAGACGTCCAACTAAATCAGTTTCTTCTTGTGTTGTCCTGTCCCTCGTTCGAGATCAAATATAAATATTCATCCATGATCATTGCCGTGTTTATTGAGAGCCGAGAATGTCGAAATTGTATATTATTCATTATGAGGATTTAACAGATTAAAGATTAGACGAATGCCAGATTAAAAGATAAGTATTTCAGTGGAATTGCGGAGGAAACTGGACTCACGATTAAGTAAGAGCATGTCAGTGTTTTCCTGCTTCTGGCAAACAGTATTCGGTCAGAGCGAAACAAAATTCCCGTATTCGTATCTCTGCTTGCAATGCAGTGTTTCCAAAAATATTTTCATTTACGACGAAGACGGATATGAGCCGTTTATTTTGAAAGTGGCATAAGTCACTTTTTCAAAAAAATCGAGTCAATTTTTAACACTAATTACAATTGAACGGTATCTTTTCATTTAAAAAAAAACGTGTCTCTCTCTCTCTCTCTCTCTCTCTCTT